ATTTAGCAGCATGTGTTAAAGTGACTTGGAATTTATAAATTCAAGTTGAATCAATTATGAGATGTGATTATTAAAAGTTAATATGGTTTAAAACAATATTTGTTTATAGAAAAAGAGCATTCAGAATATGGAGACAGTCCCATCCCATTTTTTTCTACAATGATCAGATTACACCCGAACTATTGCCAGCCCCTTTTGAGGGGCTAGAACAAAGACCCTTATATAGAAAATTCTGGGAGGTAGAGTTTTTTCTTTTTTATCTCTAAGGCAACATTTTGTGAATGTAGGCAATATTCTCACAATTCTGAAACAGGGCTGGGTGCGGTGGCTCACACCTGTAATCCCAGTACTTTGGGAGGCTGAGGCAGGTGAATTGCTTGAGGTCAGGAGTTTGAGCCCAGGCTGGCCAACTTGGCAAAATCCTGTATCTGCAAAAAAATACAAAAACATTAACTGGATATGGAGGTGCGCACCTGTAGTCCCAGTGACTAGGGGACTGAGGCAGAAGGATTGCTTGAACCCGGGAGGTCAGAGCTGCAGTGAGCCAAGATCTCACTACTGCACTCAAGCCTGTGGGACAGAATGAAACCCTTTCTCAAAACAAAGCAAAACAATTCAGAAACAGACACAATGTCTAAAGTTTTCACCTCAAGCTCACATTTAATTGGCTTAGTGTGAACTTCTTTACAATTTGCTCTCCAAAAATAAAAGAAGAGCTCATCTCAGGCATAAGAAAGTTTTCTGTTTTGATAGACATTACTAATGTTCACCAATGTGCTCTGGTTCCCCTCCTTTTTGACATATGAGAAGATATTTGGCCAACGAAATGTGAGCAGAAATAGTGTGTATCATTTCCAGGCAGAAGCATTTAAAAGCATGCTTTCTTCCCATGTGATCATCACTGTGGAAGCCTATATCAAGTTGAGGATGCCATCAGATCATGGCACTCAGCACTACTTAGCCACTGCATTGAAGACAGTTGAAGTGTTCTTTGCATGATCAAGAAATAAACTTTTTAAAAATCATAAGCCAGTGAAAGTTTTGAAGTTGCTACAGCAACATAATCTACCCTGTTCTGGCTATTTCCATCCCCAGTGTTTAACAGCTAATATCCCTGGACCAGAAGTCAGGTGACATGGCTTCTATTCTTCACTCTAACACTAGGTACGACCCTGCAAAATAAAACAGTTTTGTCTGTTAAAAGTGATTGTTTGAATAAAAATTATTGACCATCTCTTTTAGGGAAAAAAATCCTGTGATTTTAAAGTCTCTTTTAATATTTTTTGTATTCAAAGAAAGTAATGTTTATAACTAGAGTACATGGTTAAAATATACTTTGCCATTTGATTTTTAAAATTTCATAAATTGCTGCATATGTTAGGACTACTATTATTTACTTTGGATCAAGTCTCCTTCTTGTGTAATATTTGCATTGTTTTAGGCCTTAGTATCTGCTAAGAAAGTATAACCTAGGTTATCAAATACCTATTAAATCACTGTGTGGCTTAATTAACTTGAAGCCATTTCTCTATTGGGTCTTCATGGCCAAATGAAGTGAGGAAAAAAATAGTTTTTTGTCCCAGATCACGCTCCCAGATCCCACTGCCCACTTATTTTATTTATTTATTTTAATATTTTGTTATATAAAGGATGTGGCTTTTGTCCCAGAAATTGGACTTATTATCAAGAAGGTGCCAGAATTTTAGTTTTTCCTTCTTATAAACAGATTTATAACTTATCTTCACAATTAGAGGTTTATTTTTATTTCTAAGTTTGCTCTGTAATTATTTGGGCTGAAATATAGCTCTCAGATATATAAATTCCTTTTTAAAACATTCAATATTTGAATTGATTTGGTGTAAATCCAGTTTTCCGAGGTTTAGCTTTCCTTTTAAAGCTCTACTGCCTTTAATAGAAGCTCAGATTCTTTTCAAAAATCTGATGAAATCATCTCGTAACTATGTGTAGTACGTGATCCATACGGTTTCCAGTACTGTTTGAAACTGGCTCTTTGAAAAACCAATCTGTTTCCAGTTCACGTTTTATAGATGAGTCAACAATTGAACATCAATATATTTTGCTCTTTTAAACACTTTATTCTGAAATAGATTGTACTCTGTGGTACCAAATCAGTATTTACTGAATAAAAGAGTTTAATAGGATTATTAAACCAGCTATTTTGTGAGCTACGATTCAAAGTTCTGAATTTTTAACTTAGTTTATTTTTCCTCATTACCTCTATTTAGTTTTTAAAAGTTAAGAAAATTATTTTCCAGCTGGACATTGGTGGCTCGCACCTGTGATTGCAGCACTTTGGGAGGCCAAAGCAGGCAGATCAATTGAGTCTTGGAGTTGGAGACCAGCCTGGCCAACATAGTAAACGCTGTCTGTACTAAAAGTACAAAAATGAACCTGGCGTGGTGGCATATGCCTGTAATCCCAGCTTCTTGAGAGGCTGAGACACAACAATTGCTGGAACCCAGGAGGTGGAGGTTGCAGTGAGCTGAGATTCTCCAGTGAGCTGGAGAATCATGGCACTCCAGCCTGGGCAACAAGCAAGAGGCAAGACTCTGTCTTAAAAAAAAAAAAAGAATAATTATTTTCCATATTGTAAAAGACACTTGAAATTCACCAAAATCACATTAGATTTTTTTTAGTTGTTTTTAAAAGAAGTAAATCATATGGCAGATCACTTCTGAGTTCTAAACTCTTCTTTATCTAAAATCAGTAAAATTAATTTAAATGTAACTTTATTACAAAAAATAAAATGAATTTTGTTTCTAGCAGGCCGTGGCTTCTGGTTCTGATCGTGGCTTTGTCTCTAGCTGTGTGTCCTCATATAAGTTAGTAATGTTTTAGAGCATTTGTTTCCTTATTTGTAAAATTAGAGTTGTCTAGTGTATGCTTTCCTTGTTTTCTTTTTTAACTCTGTGTTGGTTTCTGTTTGTGTGTTTTTAAACATCATTATTTAATCTAGGCTTTTTCTTGTTTTCCGGAGTGTATATAATGGCCCATCCTCTAGAATACATGTTCATAGTCCCTTTGACCTTTTTAATTCTAATGTAACATATATGTACTGGTCAGCATAGGCTAGATTGTGCGGCGGTAATCTCTTCTCTAACTTCACTAAACAACAAAGCTCATTTCAGGCTTCTAATACCTGTCTGCCTATGATGTGTGATTTGGGATCTTTACTCTGTGTTGTCCTCATTCTGGTACTCAGTCTTTCGAAGTACCCACCTGTGGAGTTTTACAGGTGCTGTAGCAAGGTGAGAGAGAATTGTTGTATCACACATTGTCTTTGGAAGTTTTCAACCAGATGTAAATACGTGTCACTTTTGTTTAGATGACTTTGACCAAAGCAAGTCATATGGCCACATGTAACTTCAAGGGGGCTGGAAGTGCTATCTCACAATGTGTCTTGGACACACGAAGACACAAGAATATTTGATGAACAGCTCTTATGACTAGCCATTAGGTTTTTAGTCAAATGTTGAAATCTGGTAGGAGTATAAATTAGAAGTGCATTTATGGAGGGCAGTTTGCAGACATATAAAAAGATAGAAATATGTCTACCATTTGATATAGAAGTTTCAATTTTAATAAATTATTGAATAGACATGGTTTATACATTCATAGAGCTTATTGTATGGGGTGGGAGACAAGAGGGGGTAACACCAGAAATAAAATGAGATGGGTTAAGTGCTATGATAGAGAAATATGTAGGGTGATTCTAAAACATATAGAAAACATTCTCATCCTCTATTTTCCAGTTGACTGATTCTCTCTACAGCTGTGTATAATCTGCTATTAAATCTCCCTTGTTGGATTTTAAATTTCAATTACTACAATTTTTTTGTTTCTAAGAGAGTTATTCAAATCTGCTAGGTTACTTGTTATAGTTTCCTATCTCTGAAGATATTTTCAAGCTTGTCTTTTATGAAGAAATTATTTTCTCAATTTATCATATCATTTTGAGTATCTACAAATTTTTTGGTAATGAAAATTAAAAGTGACATGGTTATAATTTATTAAAATCTGACAGTGTTCAGGGGGAAAAATGGTCCAGATTGTGTATATAGATTATAACCTTTAAAAAATTTGCTCATAGTGAATATTATTAGGTAATACACAGAAATTATAGTTTGAGTTAGGTGTTTGGGATTATGACTGATCGTTAAAACATTTTTCTAAACTGTTTATAATGTTATTCCATCGTTTCTGCTTTTTCCAGCTTTGTTGAAGTATGATTGACAAAACTGTATAAAATTAAGGTAAACAATGTGGTGATTTGATCTATATTATAAAGCAATTTGCACAATCAAGTTAGTTAATATTTCTATCACTTCACCTAATTATTATTATTATTATTATTTATAGTGAGAACATTTAAGATCTATTCTCTTAGCAGATGCCGAGATTACGATAGAGGATTATTAACTACGATCATCACGCTACCTTTCATAGCTTTTAGAACTTAAGAAATGAGGCTGGGAAACATAACTTAAAAAACAAACCAAGAGTAATTAATTATATTAATGGGAAATAATTTATTCATATAATTGGAGTTTTAAAAGATATTTACCCTTGCTTTTTCATCAAAAAGTTCTGATTTTCTATCACAAATCCAATCAACATGGTTAGATGTATCACTTTTATTCTTCTTATCTTGATGATAGAAAGTTTAAGTCTATGTAGTGCATGGAGTACAAAAGGAAAATTATGCAAACGTACTTCTCCTTTTCTTCTCACTCTTTTTTCTTTCTTATATGAGCTAGGTTCATGTCACCGCCAGAAGCAGAGTTAGGAATGCACAGATTTTTAGCATTAGGGGAAGAAGAAAATAAGAGAAAGATGCTAACTTTTTCTTTGAGAGTATATTTTCTGCTTGCAAATACTATGTCTCTCAAGAAGAAAACCGTACTTACAGTACCAAAGATACTTAGCATTTTTAAAAATGATTAAACTCTTCATAATACTTTTTGAAAAATGTCTTTTAGGAAGAAGAAAGGCGTATGGCATCTGTTTTAGCCAAAAAAGAGGAAGAGAAGAAACGGGAAAGTCATAAACAATCTTTGCTTAAGGTATTTTCTCTGATGTCTGCCTGGATATGTGTGCACACATAGACACACATGCCCAGAAGCTAGTGAGGCAGTCTACTGGAAAAGCGGTTTCTAAGCTTTATAAGTTTCACTCAACAGAATGAAGCTAGTTTTAAAAGGAAGAGATGAAAAATAAATATAATTGAAATTATAACAATTTTATTTCATACCAGTGCATCATCTTGTGTATCCCATGGCCTGTTCACTTCATTTTGGAAAATACTGTAATTGACTGTCATCTTTACATATGTATAAATGAACTCTGCTACATGTTTTTTTAATAACTTTTTAAATTTAAAAGTTTCTGATATAGAAGTGGTAAAGATTTTGTGGAACTAGGAATAGAAATTTGTTTTAAACTGGTTTAAAATTATTTAGCAGATATTAATTTCCTTGAATAAAGTTTTATCTTTTAAATATTTTATATTAATATCTCAAAGTATAAGGTAAATAAAGACAGCTTAAAGTGTATAGTTCATAATATGCATCGTGCTACTTTCTAAAGTTAAGGATATCACCTTGATTATCATTACTCATTCATGTTCTATATAGAAGCTTTTCTTTTTAAAATGAAAATGGCACTCAGAATTCAAAAAAATTAGCAGCCAACCAAGGTGGTATGTACCTGAAGTCTTAACTGCTTGGGAGGCTAAGGCAGGAGGATTGCTTGAGCCCAGGAATTTGAGTCCAGCCTCAGGAAAATATAGTGAGACAAAACAAAATGTCACTAAATAGGACTCTTTAGTTATGAGGTTTATTTAGTATTTTTATTTTTAGTCAAAGGAAACCCATGGGGAATCAGGAGTCCCAGGTTCTAGCCCTAGCTCAGATTTGGAATCGTGATGCAACAGACCCTCAGCATTTGGTGAGAATTGCTCATGCAGCTCTACATATTGATCATTAAGAAAATGAGATGGATTGGGTATAGAACAGGAAGAGTGTATAGACACTATCTTCTGCCTTGTTGCTTTTCTATCTTTTTATTTTCCTTGCAACCTGAGAAGTGAAGGGAAGTAAAAGTTATGGCATACACTGTTGTCTTCCCTGGACTATGAAAAAGAGACTCAACTGGCAGAAGTTGGAACTTGGCACCTTCTAAAATATTTGTCACTCTAGCACATACTTGGCCATTTATTGGCATCTAGCTATTAGAAACATAATTGTCACTGATACACCAAATGCCTCTGTGATCTTTAAACTTTTCTTCGGGTACGTCCTTCTGCCTTTCAGAATCTCTAGCATTCTCTAACCCTTCTTTTGCTTCTTCTTCTTCTTTTTTTTTTTTTCCTGTACAGATGCCCAGGGCCCTTACGTGTCTTCCTGGCCAGCTGTTAATTAATCCCCACGTGACCTTAAGATAGGCTATACTCATGTCTTAAAATAAGTCTTCCCTTTTCCTGGCCCCAGTAAAATTAATCATTCTCTTAGTCAGCCTGGTATTGATCTGACTTTAATAACTTGAATTAAGGAAGCTTAACTTCAGCACGAATATAGGAAAGTGTTTGCATTTTCAAAGACTATCCTGTTATAAATTTGTTAACATACTCAGTGGTCTAAAGATATTTTATGCCCTTTTTCTAAGGACTGCTATACCTACCTCATTCAGAATATTTCTTTCACCTACCCCTGCCAGCCAGAAAACCAAATGCATGAAGCCAGCATGAGAACCATCATCTATTAACTGACTGCCATGGCTTCTTTCAAAGTGGCCTTGATACTGAGTTAAAAAAAAAAAAGAAAGCCCGAGATTGCTTAGATTAAAAATTGGGTTGGCACAGTCATCAGCAAGTAACTTAGAATTCCTTAAGGTAAGAAGCATTTTTATTATAGATTAGGGATTTACAATAAGAATTGCAGATTTCTACTTGCTTTATGTAAGGAGCACATACGTAAAATGTCAAAAAGTCTCCAAAGTATATACATATTAAATATAACCCACTGAATTGTACACTTAAATTTGAAACACCAAACAGTAGATAAAAAGAAGCCCAAAACATTTTTTTAGAGATGGTGTCTTATTGTGTTGCCCAGGCTGGAGTGCTGTTCACAGTTGTGACCAACGCACACTACAGCCTTCAATTCCTGGGCTCAATCAGTCCTCCTGAGTTAGTCTCCCAAGCAGTTGATATTTCAAGTGTACACTATTGCACCCCCCCAAAAAAAATTTTTTTTAAACAGAAAAAGAACTTTAAAAACTTTAGTTTTAATTAAACAAGCCATATCACATTTTATTCCTATCTAATGCCATGCATACATGCTAAAATCTTAGATAACCCAAAATTATACAAATATATGTGAAGAGGTACAACTAAAAAGAATTGTTCTACATGTACATATGCACTGAAGAAGTGGACAGAGAACCTTCCTATTAGCCTTCTGTGGCTCCAGAGCCACCAGGCAAAGAGGGGTCAGTGTCACACTCAGCTAATTTTTCAATGCAGGATTGTAGTCTTAGTGAAGACTACAATGTCTATTTTCAGCATTCTGATCTAATTGATAAGCTGTAATTAAATATTATCTTTTGATAATTGAAACTTTACCAGAATAGGGATTTTTTTCAATTTGTATGTGTGTATATATATATATATATGTTGAATCAAAACATTTCAATTTAACACAATTTCTTTCAGCTGTCTAGATCTGCTTTTTCACAACAGGGTTTCTGTGAGAGGATTGAGCTCCAATGCTATAAGTCAGTGGTTCTCAAGGTGAGGTCCATGAACTAGCAATGTTAGAATACTTAAGAGTTTGTTAGAAATTCGGATTCTGAAACCCTACTTCAAAAACTCTACATAAGCAATCTGTTTTAACCTCCAGATGATTAGAGGTACCCTGAAACTTGAGAACCACTACCTTAAGGCATCCATTGCTTATAATGAATTCATTTCTTTCATATTCATCTGGGATGGTACCAGTTATTTAGAGACATTTCAATCTAGTATAATTTCTTTTAATAGTCTAGAGAATAACTGTTAAATTTCAGACACTATAATTTATTCTGAGAAACTTGGAACATTGATCAACTCCTTCTCTCTCCCCTCCAAGATCATTTCACTTTATCAGTCTTAATTATTGAGTAGAAAAACTAAGATATTGTTAGTTTTTTCTTACTGTGTTAGAGGCATATAAATTTCTGTTTAAAACTTCAGATAATAAGTATGCAATAGATTTTGAATTTTTAATCTCTAGTTGGTTGTATATTTATTTTTAATAAAATTTAAGTTCCTAAAGAGCAATAATTGTTTGCATATTTTTTTCCTTTAGAGTGTTAGATTATTATTGAAATTTTGAATGCAGAGAGTAAATACAGGCCTCCCAGATCTTGTTTTAGAATGTATATTGGGTAGCTACTTATAAAACCCAGGCTCCTTTTAAAAGTATTATAAGAAAGTACAAACAATATGCCTCTTAGATGTCACTTCTGCTACAAAAAATGCGTTATATAACTTTTGTCACAATTAACTTTTTCCTAGGAGAAGAAAAGGTTAACAATTAACAATGTCGCTCGACAGTGGGACTTGCAACAACAACGTGTAGCCAGTATTGCTACGAATGAAGATAGAAAAGATTCTGACTCTCCTCATGACCCCTGTCCGCTTGATGGAAGCACCCTCCCTGCATTCCCAGAGGAAACAGGGTATGCAATGGTATTCTTTCAAGATACAAGCATCTTTAGATAATTGAATTTGGAGCGGGAATTAGAAACCATTTGACATATAATTATTTTTAAAGAGCTTTCTTAAGAAAATTAGAAGTTAGATTGAAATTAGAAGTTAAGATGGAAAAAATGGAAATATAAATCTTACTATAATATTCTAATTAAAACACCCTTCATAGGGCATTTCATATTTTTCATAGGGAAAAGCCTAGATTGCTTAACATAGTCTATGATGCCTTTTGCCCACTTCATCTCTTTTTTTCATGCCATCAACCATCTTCTTCTGCTATTACAGCATCACTGTCTTTCTTTCAGTCCAGTTACTTCCTACTTCAGAACCTTTCTTAGAGGAATAGTGTTTTTCTGCCCTGACAGCAATCACTGCCCTGCAGTATTTCTCTGATCCAGTCCTAGCTAACTTCAGCTCACCCATAGAAGTCTGAAATTTAAACTTCACATCTTCCAAAAAAGTCTTTCCTGACTCCAAAGAATAGATCAGGTATCCTTTTTATCTCTCAGTACCCTGCACCTCCCCTTCCTAGTACTTACCATAACTATGACTAAAGAACTAGTTGGTAGTTAGTTATTTCATGAGTGTCTTCCCCATTAGAATGTAAGCTCCATGAGGAAAGGAATCCTGATTGATTGATTTAACTGCTGTTGTTGTGTCCTCAGCAGCCACACAAAACCTTACTCTTTAACTACTAGCAGTAAGCAATCGGGCATACAATCTGAATAGTGACTCCAGCTGTGCTCTCTACTGTCTGTCTGTTCCAGTGACTCCCAACCTCTTTTCTTCTGATACATTTACCACATGAAAACATATCTCTAGGTTTATGAGCAACGCTGAGTGCATTATCTAGACCCCACATGTTTCTCTTCCTCTCAGAAAAACATATTGGAATCAAGTGAATTCAGAGGGACATAAAGTATCTATATCTTTATAGTGTGTGTATGATTTAAATATATATTTGTACAGCTGTCCCTCAGTTTCCATGGGGGATTGGTTCCAGGACCCCTGCAAATATCCAAATCTGCAGATACTCAATTCTCTATATAAAATGGGATAGTATTTGCATATAAACTATACACATACTACCATATACTTGAAATCATCTCTAGGTTACTTAAATAGTATCTAATAAAATGCCTACACATCACTTCATTTGCACGGATTTGGCATATTACTCAGCATGTGGCAAGTTCAAGTTTTGCTTTTGGAACTTTGTGGAATTTTTCTTTTCAGATTATTTTTGATTCATTTAATTTAATCTATGGGTGCAGAACCCACTAAGGGCTGATTATATTTACATAATTTAAAAATAAAGCCTAAAAATCAAAGATAGAATACATTTTAATTTTGTTTAATTTGATGAAGCATATGTGTCTTATTACCTTAACTAAACTCTGAAACACCTTTTAAAACTAAATACAATACACTATAGCTTTTACTTCAGGTTTTCAGCTGGAATTCTTTGACCCTTTCATATGAAAATATATGTACAGTAAAGGAAGTAATTTGAGTGGCATGAGAATAGTGTTTTAGAAATTGTCTGGCGTTAGAGTCTAACATATATTTAGGCGGATATGCTTTTTAAGTTTTAGTTATGGGATTAACTTATATCAATGTGTTTCCTTCAGCTCACTTGGGATCCACATGTGGACCCCCTCTGCTCTTTCAGCTAGAAAAATAAGGCAAGAATAAAAATTCTAATAAAGAGACAACTTATATAACTAATATACCACTCTTATATAGCCCTAGAGCTATATTTAATATTATTTAAATGATGAAATATAATTTTACTTGGTTAGAACTGTAACACTTTATAATGTTAAAACTTTATAGCAGTAGGCTGTTGATTTATGAAATAATACACATCAGTTCTCATTTCTCTTTTTGAAAAATTATTTTTTCATTTTTCTTAAGTTTCTCTGTTTCAAGTTTATCCAAGTAATCTGGCATTTTTTATTCAACATTGTAATAAGGTTTTAAAAGTTAGTTCTTCAATCCATCAATTTTTTTTTTTTTTTTTTTGAGATGGAGTCTTACTCTGTTACCCAGGCTGGAAAGCAGTTGCACGATCTTGGCTCACTGCAACCTTTGCCTTCCAGGTTCCAGTGATTCTCCTGCCTCAGCCTCCTGAGTAGCTGGGATTTTACAGGTGCCCACCACCACACTTGGCTAATTTTTGTATTTTTAATAGAGATAGGGTTTCACCACGTTGGCTAGGCTGGTCTCGAACTCCTGACCTCAAGTGATTGCCTGCCTAGGCTTCCCAAAGCATTAGGATTACAGGCGTGAGCCATAGCAGACTTATTTTTATACACAGTGTTAGATAAGGATCTAACTTGATTTTATTTCAATTGACTAGTCAATTTGCTAATAACCTTTTAAAAATTAAACTATTCATTTTTTATGAGAATGCCATCTTTATCTCATGTTAAGTTTTAATATGTGCATGTATTTCTGGACTGTCCATTTCATCTACCCATTTTAATGCGAACACCAGACTCTTTATTATAGTAATTTTGTAGTAAGTTTTCATAACTTATAGGGAAAATAGGCTTCTACTGTTCTTTCCAAGTTTCAGTTACCATATACCTATTCTTCGATTTGAACTTTATTTATTTATTTAGTTGTTGAGATGGGGTCCTACTTTGTCTCCCAGGCTGAAGTGCAGTGGCATGATCTTGGCTCACTGTAACCTCCACCTCCTGGGCTCAAGCAATCCTCCTACCTCAGCCTTCTGAGTAGCTGGGACTACAGGCACACACCACTATGTCCAGCTAATTTTTGTATTTTTTGTAGAGATGAAATTTTGCCATGTTCCCCAGGCTGCTCTTAAATTCTTAGGTGCTCAAGTGATCTGCCTGCCTTGACCTCCCAAAGTACTGGGATTACAGGCATGAGCCACTGTGCTCAGCCTCATAGGAACTTTAAAATCAGTTGAAATAGAAAATAAATGGTGAGAATCTTGTTCAAATCACATTTAAGTTTACTTATTAATTTCAGAAGAATTAACATTTTTACGACAGTAATGTCACTTTGAGAAACATAGTATGTCTCTCCATTTTTTCAGGTCTTTTTTGATATCCAGAGGGAGCTAACTGGGAAAATGTTGAAAGATTGAAGGAAAATTCTGAGAACTAAATGAGTCTAGAGACCATGAAATTATAGCAACTTTAGCCTGAATGGTTGGGTGAGTTTATTCCAAGAGCACAGAGTAGCTAAGTATAACAGAAGAGAAGCCAAATGTCTGATAAAGAACAAAGAGACAAGGAATCAAAGACAAGGAATGAAAATTTCAAGTGTGATGACAAAGGAAAAGATGAAAATATTCATCAGATAGTCTAGGTGAGATTTTAAGGAATTTAAAGACAGAAGGTTGGTAACAGGAAGAAAATTTTATGTTTCTGGGACTGGAAGTCTAATTAAAGTTGCAGATGAGGAGCATATTAAGTAAGAGCATTAATATGTGCTGGAATAGTGGAATTTATGGTCAGAGTAAGTTTTTGAGGTTGAATGTTGAGTAAGTTTAGAGGTATAACACATTTAAGTAATGAAATCTAAGCAATATGGAAGCCATTATTGTAGTTATCAGAGTGGATTGTTGGAAAAGAGTAGAAGTGAAGGCCACCAGAGGAGAGACGATCAGTTGAAATTGATCAGTTGAAATTATTGTAGACATTGAAGTTACTGATGGTAGAACAAGGTATGGCACCAGAGGCCATGCATGCTGTTCTCTTGTGACAGGGCTATTCACTGTTGAAGTTTTACTAGTTTTGGCCCCTTCAGTGAATGCAGGAGTATCTTTTTTATAAATGGCTATTTTATCTGTCAAAACTGTCTCTGATCAGTGAATTGCGACTATTAACATGATTTTGATGACATTTTGAACTTTTAAAGTGGCATATAGCCAAACTTTTTTTTTTTTTTTTGGGGGGGGTGGGGAGGAAGGCAGGAAGGAAGGGAATAAGGACGGTAGGGAGGAAGGAAGGGATGAAGGAGGGAAGGAAGGGAGGAAGTGGGGAGGGAGGGAGGGAGGGAGGGAAGGGAAGAAAGGAAATCAAGCAATGAAAGAGACATTGCCGACCTGGATCTAGAGGTTTACAAGTTGATTTCTTTTTTTTTGAGAGAAGGAAAGAAAAAAAAAAAATAAGCAAAGGACCGGAAGAAAGAGGAAGAGAAAGAGGGAGAGTAAATGGAAATATTGCTTTATTTTTTAAAAAATTGGGTATTATTAATGGCCAATCAATGTTTCATTTAAACTTATGGGTAGGTGTGATGTGGTATTGACAAGAATGTATATTTTGTGTATTTGAAGTGGAGAGCTCTATAAATATTTATTAAGTTTACTTGTTCTGGATCTGAGTTCGAGTCCTTGATATCCTTATTAATTTTCTGTCTCATTGAATCTAAGTCTCCTATCTGGGTGTTAGGATCGTTAGCTCTTGTTGTTGCATTGATCCTTTTACCACTATATCTTTGTTGCTTTAAAATCTATTTTATCCGATACAAGAATTGCAACTCCTGCTTTTTATTTATTTATTATTTATTTTTGCTCTCCATTTGGTTGGTAAATCTTTCTCCATCCCTTTGTTTTGAGTCTTTGTGTATCCTTGCACGTGAAACAGGTCTGGATGTAACATGCCGTTGGGTTTTGGCTGTGTCTTTTGATTGGGAATTCAGTCAATTGAAATTTAGGGTTACTGCCATTTGATGTTGACTGGCTGTTTTATCCATTCGTTGGTGTAAATTCTTCTTTATGTTGGTGCTCTTTACTTTTTGGTGTATTTTTAGAAAGGCTAATACTGGTTGTTTCTTTCTGTGTGTAATGCTTCTTTCAGAAGCTCTTGTAAAGCAGGCCTGGTGGTAATAAAATCTCTGAGTTCTTGCTTGTTCATAAAAGATTTTATTTTTCCTTCAGTTGTGAAGCTTAGTTTGGCTGGATATGAAATTCTGGGCTGAAGGTTTTGTT